CATGTGGTGAACGTTGGTGAAAGAGCATGGCTAGATATGATGGCTTTTCGCCGACAGCTGCATGCTGTAGATTTTCAGGACGTTGGTAGAAGAAGCATTAGTTTCACTAAAGAAGTAAACTAAACCCTTGGCCATTCTAGAGGGCAACTTTTAACTTTTAAGACATCCTGAATGTCTTAAGGATGGATGTTAGCATATCCAGCTCCAGGTCAGATAGGGTGGCAGAGGAACGCTAACAGCTGGTAGCTATTAGGCATGGCCAAAAGACTTACCATCACTATTGATGCCTCTGACAGTGGATGTAGAATTCAAGGACTGAATGTAGAGAACTACCACCTCACTCTGCAAGCTGTCCTGGGATAAGAGGGAAGGTCCTCTCATGGATTGGTAACTTGTTAAAAGATAGGAAACAAAGGGTAGGAATAAATGGTCAGTCTTCACAACGGAGAGAGGTAAATAGTGGTGTCCCCCAGGGATCTGTACTGGGCCCAGTCCTATTTAACATATTCATAAATTAACTGGAAAAAGGGGTAAATGGTGAGGTGGCAAAATTTGCAGATGGTACAAAACTAGATAGTTAAGACCCAGCAAGGCTGCAAAGAGCTACAAAAGGATCTCTTAAAACTGGGTGACTGGGAAACAGATGAAATTCAATGTTGATAAATGCAAAGTAGTGCATGTTGGAAAACATAATCCCAACTATACATATAAAATAATGGGGTCTAAATTAGCTCTTACCACTCAAGAATGAGATCTTGGAGTCATTGTGGATAGTTTTTTGAAAACATCCACTCAATGTGCAGTGGCAGTCAAAAAAGCAAAACAATGTTGGGCCTCATTAAGAAAGGGATAGATAATAAGACACAAAGTATCCTATTGCCTCTGCATAAATCCATGGTACGCCCACATCTTGAATACTTCATGCAAATGTCGTCGCCCATCTCAAAGATATATTGGAATTAGAAAAGGTATGGAAAAGGGCAACAAAAATGATTAGGGGTGTGGAACAGCTTCCTTATGAGGAGAGTTTAAGACGACTGGGACTTTTCAGCTTGGAAAAGAATCCAGTTTCATTTATGTGCTCGGGCTATCACTTCAGCTGTTTCTCTACAGGGCCAATGTAAATGTGTTCTAACTTCAAACGTGAATGGGGAAAAAGGGCCACAACTGGGTCAGTGTTAAATGACTAGTGGATTCCTAGGTCTAATGTTCAATAACTTCTCTATTCTTAAAGGGCGCCAGCAGCAGCAGTATAAAAATTGTGTTAAGTCAAATTCAGAAGAACTGTGGTGTGTGTTCATATGCTCTTCTGCACATCACTCCGCTTGAACAGAAACATGGCAAAATAAACCTTCAGTTTTAACTTTTCCACAGTATGCATCCGATGAAGTGAGCTGTAGCTCATGAGAGCTTATGCTCAAATAAATTGGTTAGTCTCTAAGGTGCCACAAGTACTCCTTTTCTTTTTGCAAATACAGACTAACACGGCTGTTACTCTGAAACCAGTTTTAACTGAAGCTTACTAAGGAAATATCAAGGCTTTGAGTCCTTCAAGGCTTGGCTAGCACTTCTAGTGCTGATATAACAGCAGCTGCATCTCCCCATAAGATGGGCATCTTTAAACTGGTTGTAACCTGTAGCCCCACAACAGGCAGCTTTCCTGTCTTGACACACATGCACTTCCCAAAGCTTAATGTGAGAGCCACCATAGCTTCCATTTTGAACAAAGCTCAGCAAAACGGTAACACTGCTTGGGTCTTCTACAGTCCATGCCAACAGTGATGCCAGGCACTGCTTTCCTTCTAACTTGATGGGGAGAGTGGAGACGACTACTACTTGTTCTACCTTCAGTGGACATGCTAATCTGCAGCAGGGAAAATTTGTGTTAGATATTAGGAAAAGATTTCTAACTATAAGGATAGCTAAACTCTGGAATAGACTTCACTGCAGATTTTTAGGAGGCAGTTAAACATCTGTCAGGGATGGTCTAGTAACATTACTTAATCCTGCCTCAGTGCAGAGAACTGGACGAGATCTATTGAGCGCCCTTCCAGCCCTACATTTCTGTGTATGCTCCTAGTCTGCCAAAAGTTACTTGTGTATAACAGGCTGACGAGCTTCACTCTGAAAAAGAAATGTTCACAACGTGGGGTGATACCTCAGACAGAATATCGAGAACCACTGTTTTGAAACACTTGACATCAATGGCTTTTATCACAAACAAAACTGCTAAAGACTAGCAGGCTTGTATTGACTTGTTAAATCAACATTGGATTTTGAGTTGCTTGCATCTATTCAATTTTTGCTGCTTAGAAGTTGTCTTGCAATTAAAAAGTAGTAAAATAACTACTTCAGCATATACTCTTTGTAACAGCATCTTAAAAAGATGCCTATTCCTCATGTCTGCCTGGTGGTCACATTGTCAAAAACTACAGCTTCCTGGCATGTAGTGGCTATATACTCCAAGGACTCTTTCCCTGCATTTAAAACCTCTTATTTGTACAGGAATGCATCCTTTCTGGCATCATGTCAGTGAATGGAAAGAAGGTCCTTCACATGGATCGCAACTCGTACTATGGAGGTGAAAGTGCATCCATAACACCACTGGAGGATGTAAGTACCTAGAATAAAACACTGTATTGTACTCACTCCTGTACCTACATGATCTTGCTTCTAACTTTTTAAGTATCCTCATCCTGAGTGAAGACTGAATCTTGCCCCTGTTCCTAAAGGGAGGATTAACTGCACATCTTACCAGGAGTGCAGCAAGCATGGAAGAGACCAAAAACGTAGCTAACACCTAAAACAAAGAAATGCTGTCTTAGAGCCTTTGGTCCTTATTCCTACACCACTTGGGGAGCTTAACAATAAGGACAGCTCATTCAATGTCACGTGTAATCTTTCAGTGTTCATGCTAATAGCTAGTATTTTTAAACATGTCTCTAGAAACAAGTTGATCCAAAATAGCTTCATTTTGACTGTCGTGGATATGACATGGCTGTCTTCTGTATTGCTGTCCTGCTCGCTGAGTGACATGACTGTTGTATTTTTATGCCGATGTGTCAAGGCATCTAGCACTCAAATAGGATCAAAAGTAAAAGCACTAATGCATTTTAATCCAAAAGTCACTGATTGGAATAGACTTAATTGCTTACCTCACTTACGCATGATGATTGCAAAGCTCTCTGAACATCCTAGCCTCAAAGCTGCAGTTGCTGCAAATCACTTATTAATATTCTAGTAGGAATTGATCTCAGTAATCTCAACGCATAAATCCTACAATACAAGATGGACAAAACACTAATTCACATGGAAACTTTTGCTTTAAAAATCAGTCTCACAAATATGGATATTTGCCTTTCTGCTCAGTGAGGCAACAGACTTGATCAGTGGAGTGAAATTACTCTTGCAGTATTATACAACTGCAACTTCAGTTTGGCAGGTCACAAACCTGACAAGCTTGTCTTCAGTTTAAGAGCTCTGTATTAGAGGAAAATCAGACACTGAGGAAAGCAGGCCTACCTGATGCTATACCTAAAGTAGCAATAGCTTGACGTGATTTGCACATGTCATCAATTAGTCCAGTTTCCACCAAACTAAATTCTGGCTGGCCACAGGCTTGCAGCGGGAGGGCGGGCTATAGACTAATGCACAAGAAGTTTTGGCATGTTGTGGGAGCATAAGCATGTATTGTGATGAGATTATTTGTAACCGTGCAGATTCATTAATGTAATGAATAGTGCATGTTTTCTCCACTGTATAAGAGCATTTATCCTTTTTCTAAAGCTTTACAAAAGGTTTAACATACCAGGATCTCCACCAGAATCAATGGGCCGAGGAAGAGACTGGAATGTGGACCTAATTCCAAAATTCCTTATGGCTAATGGTAAGTAACTTAACTTAAATCAAACCAAAGATCCCAAGCTAGTAAACTTTCTATGAATCAGTCACTCTAACAGCTACAATTAAGGACTGGTTTATTGCAGTATCTACTCCAAGGCTTGAAATACTGCTCATCCAAACCAGCCAGATACAAGAGCATGCTCTCATTACTTGTAATACACATCTACCCTCCGATGGCAAGTCACACAGGTGCACAGTTCTAGCTGTCTTTCCAAATGAGATCTTGCACATGAAGATCTGTCTCATAGTAGATGCACTGTAGCGTGCTGGGCTACTCTAAAGGAAGCCTAAAAACACAACTGGAAAATTCTTGTCCTACTGTGTAAGAGAGGAAAGTCTGTAGATGACAAATTAACACCTGTTTTGCACACTAATTAATCAGGGAAAGTTGAGCCATGACTTGTGAGGACTTTATGGAAAAACACACTCTAAAACCCCTGTGCTTACTAAAGCAAGGTTTCTGAATTTTTAGCTAGAGTGGATGCCATTTGGCTGCAGTACTCCTCAAAAAATGTAGGAAGAAACAGTGACTGCAATTGTGTTGGGTGGGAAAATTGAGTTCACTGACACAAGCTGTTAGAGTCTATGGCTTGCATACTTCTCGACTCCAGTGATCCCTTCCTAACTTTTCCAAAAACTAATTTCTTTATAACCACTGGCAACTTCAGTAGTAATGAGGTTTCCTGCTTCTCAGTGCTTATTGGTGCTGATAAGTGTTCTGGGATGGCTTCCTCTCTTTCATTGGCAGCTGCAGAATTTTTAGGGTGCGGTTGCCTTGTTGACTAGTCAACAACTTGTCCTGTGGTGTGTCCCTGAGAACTTATACTTTCAATCTGACAGTGTATTACTTCTGGTGACTTTGTCACTGAAATGTATGTAAGGGATAAGACACTACTAAGCATAAAACTTGTCTTTGCATAGTGACAATAACTACATAAAACTAGCTGAAGCTTGAATGTAATAGCTCTGGAACAGCTCGTTATGTTGAGACTACTTCGTGTGCAGAACTCTAAACTCAACTAACCCACATGAAAACAATTAGGGATGTGACTTTTTCTGTCAGTAGGCTAGGTCAGGGGTCGGCAACCTTTCAGAAATGGTGTGCTAAGTCTTTATTTATTCACTCTAATTTAAGGTTTCGTGTGCCAGTAATACATTTTAACATTTTTGGAAGATATCTTTCTAGAGATCTATAATATTTTCTTTAAATACAACAATAGTTTAGTTTTATATAAGGTTTTTAAAATGTTTAAGAAGCTTCATTTAAAATTAAATTAAAATGCAGATAATATCAGTTTAGTGTGATCCTTGCCCTTGCTTTTCCTTGTTGAGTTTTCCAATGTCTGGCACATATTTGGATACTTTAAGCTGCACAGGCTTCTGAGTGATCAGTTGTTAACCGGCTCCGAGAGGGACAGATTTCATATGTGAAAATACCTGTTCACACAGGCACGTGGATCCAAATGCTGAAAGCACTGCAAACACAATTTTCTTCAAACTGTTAAATTTCACTGGCAGGGATGTCCAGCAGGTCAGAATAGAGGCCCTGTGATCTCTCTTGGTAGCTTCAAGTGCACTCCGCAGATCTCCAAACTTTGATGCCCACAATTCTGACCTTTTTAACTGAATGAGCTGCATTTCGGAATCTTCAACACCCATCCACTGAAATACAGACAAATCCAAGTCATTTTAATTGAACTTTTCAGGTTTAATTAGAAAAGAAAGCATTGGGCCAAATTGCTGGAAATCTTGAAATCGGTCAGAAAATTCTGATTCCAGTTCTTGCATGTACATTCTAGTCTCAACATCAAACACAGTGCGCTGTTCCATGTGGCACGATAGTGATGTCAAAGCAACAGACCAGGACTTAAAAATATCCCAGTACAATGGTGCTAGAACAATTTTTAAGGGTGGGGGTGCTGAGCTGTGCCCCCTCGTGCCCTTGTCTGCCCCCCTCACTGCCCCAGGCTGGGGCCAGTGGGCCGGGGACTGGTATGCCAGCCGACTGGGGTCCAGGATGTGCCACTGAAAATCAGCTTGTGTTCCGCATTCGGCACACGTGCCATAGGCTGCCTACCACTGAGCTAGATAGTAGTATGTTCTTTCCTGCCAGGGATGTATTCATGGGGTCTGAAGCAGGAGGGACAGGGGCAGGGGACCACCCTACAACTGCATACAACAGCTTCTTTGTTTAACTTGACTAATACTCTGCTCTTATGGACAAGAGCTCCTGTCCCTGCTACTACAGTCTATTCTATGTAACATTATTTACAAAGTTGAAACTTAAGTCTAAACGTTGCTACGTGTAGCAGGCTCCATGATAAATGACAGGGATACTAACAGAGTGGGGACAGTGGTTGTAATATTCTTGTATACTTACCAATGCTTTAGTGTGCATAATTTGTATCCAAGGAAGTTGTTAAACAGCTGTAAGCTGGCTAAAACTAATAGAATGTCAACATTTTCATAAATCTCTATAATTTGTGCAACCTCTACCTTGTGTGTGCTAATCTGTGGGAATGCTATGGCAGAGCAGTGCTCCTAGCATTGCAGGAGCTCATCCTAAACTGCAAAAGCACACTTCAGTCATAATGGGGGCCCTGCAAAAAGACAAACAGTCATCTGTCCTTCATACACAGAGTAAATGATCACCTGGCTGCAGACTGCGGGCTGACTTTTCTGTTGAAACTTCTTAATTGCAGGTCAGTTGGTAAAGATGCTGCTTTACACAGAAGTCACTCGCTACCTAGACTTCAAAGTGACTGAAGGAAGCTTTGTCTACAGGGGAGGAAAAATCTACAAAGTTCCTTCCACTGAGTCAGAAGCCCTGGCATCCAGTAAGCTGTTATACTTTGCTGTACTATTGCTTGTGTCCTTCTGAGAGGTCATAGCTGTAAGCTTAATTATTTGACATTTCCTGTGACTTGAGTTGTACCAAGGTCATCGTGGGTCTCGGATGAACTGGGACTCGTTCCTGGATGTGTTCATCTGCAACCACACTATAGAAAAGGGTAACAAGATTTGATTAATGTGTCAAGGTAATGATATGCATTAGTAATGGTGTTTATAATGTGATCTGTTCCAATAGCGCATTCTATGCTTGAGTACAGTAATCATCCTCAGCTGCTCACTTTGCAGCAAGAAATAGATTTCTCATTTGGAAACACCAGATGTGGTCAGTGTGGCTGATAGATTCTCAACCTTCTTTGAATTGCACCCCACCTTAGTACTCTTTTTTTTTTTCTTTTTTTTTTTTGCTTGGAGCTCCTCCCCCTTATAGTAGCTATAAGGATGCTGTCTGGTATGTGGGGTTGCAGTGCCATTCAGATTTGATCCACAGCCCTTCCATGATAGGCAAATGCAGGTGTGTGTAGAAGTGCCTTTCAGCCAGAGGTGGCTGCAGGCAGGTGCAGGACCTAAATTTCAGTTTTGTAACTCATTAACTGTTGAGTTGGCAGTAGGGCCTGTTACCCTCCATCAGGGGCTGCATACCCCCCATTCTGCCATAACTGGGGTGGGGGAGGCAAAGCCCCTCTGGGGGGCTGGCACTGCCAGGATCACTGTCCTAGCCCTGCTCCCTGCAGAAGGCACAAGACCTGGCCTCACTGAGCCTATCTCTTGGCACAGCCGGGTAGCTATAGAAGGGGCAGCCCTCAGGGTGCACAAGAGCTGCTGCTGCTCAGCAGGCCTGGCTCACATCCTCTGACAGAGGCAGAAGTACATCTGGGGTGAAGTGTGAGGCCAGTGTCAGTAGGGCTAAATGCAGGGGGCGATGCTTTGCACAGAACCCGAGCAAGGTGAGCCTCCTGGGGAACTAGGACCCATGCTCATCCTGTTCTGATCCCTTCTCCCCACCTGATCCTGACTGAAGACTCTCTGGAACAAATTTGAGTGGTGGTGTAACCTCATGCACCAAGTCATAATGCCACATATTCAGTCTGGGTCTGACATGCTCTGCCCCCTATTGGGTCTCTGAGGGATGGTCTCTCTAGAAGGTCTCCTGTAGTACAGGACTAGCAGACCAAACTCTGCCATAGACTTATTACCTTGTAGCTGTAATCTTTCCATCTCCAAGTTTCTTCACTGTGAACAAAGATGCTTGCTTATCTTGTAGGCAAACTGTTAAAATTCTCCTCCTCATATGAATGTGTTAAATAACTTTTCACCTGGCAAACCTGAACTTTCTCATTCCTTTACTACAAACTAGGAATCCGCTAGCAACAGTTAAGGCTAATGACTGAACAGTTTTGTCTCCAAGTAGTATGCTGGTGATTATTCACAGTCCAGTGCAGCTTTTTAGGATGGCCTAAGACAAAGTCAGGCACTCCCAACACTGCTCCAAATATTAAAATTGGGGTACTAGATAATACCTAGAGCCTGGAAAATCCAAAGATATCCACAGACCATTTTTGCTGACCACAGCTCCAATGCAGATACAAATTTTGTATCCGCGCAGGGCTCTGCAGCACACTCACCAGAACAGAGTGACGGTCACCCAGCCCTGGGGCTGCAGCTCCACTCTCTGAATCACACTGCAGCAATTGCGTGCTGGGCATTCTGGGAGTTGTAGTCTCTCCAGTTTGTTCAGACGGAGGTGATAAAATACTACTCCCAGAAGGGAGTGTGACCGTGCACTCCTGTGCAGTGAGTCAAGCACACTGTGTGTTAGAGCTGCTGCTGCTGCATGGCGGTGTCCAAACCCCTCATTGGGAGGGTGGTGCTGCACATGAGGGCCCAGGATGTAGGCTCCCCCCCAGTAGCGGAGAAGGAAGCATGAGTGTGCTGTGGGAGGTCTCTGGGGAGAAGTGGGCGGTGGTTGGGAGTTTGGCAAAGCCCTGTGTCACTGTTGTGTGGTGACCTGTGGAGCTGTCAGTAGAGCCCTGCAAATCTGCAATATCTGTAGACGATTTATGTGGATCGGATGTGGATACAAATTTTTGTATCCATGCAGGGCTCTAGTAATACCCTCTCCAGAGGAACAAGACAGCCCAGAATCTTTCACAGGTGCAGAAATACCCTTCCTGACGACAAGCTGGGGGAGGCTCTGAATGTGCCACGGAGGACGCTGCATGTGCGCTCCAGATGCACATATCATGCATGATACAGGGGAGACCTCTTGTCAGTAGCAGACCTGGCTGTTAGGAAACCAGAGAGAACAGGTCCAGAGGCAAAACTGTATCCCTTAGTGACCCTGTCAAATCAGCCCTTTGTGGCTAGTCTCTTGTTCTGATTAATTGGCCTTCTATAAGTTTTCTGTGGCATTCCCCTGCTTCAAGTTCCTATTTAACTTTTTCAGGTTCACTGACATGTAAAATCCTGAGACTCCAGGAAATTGGTGTATTTGACTTCTTGCTCAGTAGCAATGCCATCTCTCGGCACTTTAGAGTCTTTAGGTATGTGTACACTAGAAATGGCATAGCTGGAGCACTTTAGTGTAGACACTTCAGCACTGGGAGTGGTCTTGCACTGCTGTAGTACATGCATCTCTCCAAGAGGCAGTAGCTAGGTCCAGGGAAGAACTCTTCTGTTGACCTGACAGTGTGAACACTGGGGCTTAGGTGGCTTAACTTCATCTCTGAGGAGTTTTTTCTCACCCCCAAACGAGGTAGCTGGGTTGACCTAACTTTGTAATGTAGACCTGCACTCACTCTTAAATGACATTAAGCAGGCAAGATGCATAAACTGAGGAAGAGTTATTTAGGTAGCCCTTTTAGTTCCTTTTGTACCCATTGCAAAAAAAGTGACCGTCTAGTAACTTCTAATCATATAGAGGGTCCTTGTGCATTTCTGTTGTGGAACACACCTGAATAATATATCATGGGGCAAGACTCTCCCACTTGCTGTCCTATCCATGTAGTTGCTACAGTTGTTTACACGGACCAGCATTACATAGCCAACTCTGGCAAGTATGGGGAACTAAGCCATTAAGTTCCTTAAAGTTGTTGTAAAGAATTCTCAAACGTGAACTGAAAGCAACCAATGAAATGTCTGCCTAAATCTGCAGCTGCTCAGTCTAGTTCAGCATTGCTATCTGTTGACAGTGATTACCTTTTGCTTAGAACAGCAGTGGAATGATCATGTCTGCTTCATGTCTTCAATTTGAGGAAAGCTGGCAACGACATAGGCAGTTGCTAGCCTTTTGGGGAGGAGCCAAATGCTGTGGAAGAGGGTGTCTGGTTCCCAATGAATTGGATAGGGGGAGAGCTCCTTCTCCCTTAGCTAGAGGGTAATAGAGCTTAACACAGACTTCTGCTAGTCTGAGGCTGATCCAGAAAAGCTCACTGACCATGGTCAGGGTCAGTTCCCTCCCCTCTTCCAGTGACTGGAAGTGGTGGAAGCCAGGCCACATGTAGGTTGTCTCTGAACTCTCTGGGTGTGGCTGTCATTCTTCCTGCCTCTGGGTAGTGTCTGGCACATCTTCCAAGCTCTTAATAGTCAGTTACTATGGCAGCTGCCAGTATTAAGCAAACTGGTTTTCCATGCTTAGCTGGATTTTTGGCCTCTGTAGCCTGAATGGTTACTTCATACTCGGGCACAGTTAACTTAGGGGTACCTTAGGGAAAGATTAAAGTGTAAACTTTTGCTGTCTAGGGTTAAACAAAGCCTTTCATCTCTGTTGTAATACTCCATGGTCTTTGCCATGGAACTGGAGGAAAGCTTACTTTGAAAGGACCTTCAAAGTAACTCATTCCTCACTTCTAACCTCTGATCTGACCCATTCTTTTGGTGTTGTAGGTTTAATGGGCTTGTTTGAGAAACGCCGATTCAGGAAATTCTTAGTGTGTGTTGCCAACTTTGATGAAAATGACCCCCGGACTTTTGAAGGTGTTGATCCCAAGAAGACCACCATGAGAGAGGTGTATAAAAAGTTTGACCTGGGCCAAGATGTCATAGACTTCACAGGCCATGCCCTTGCACTCTACAGAACTGATGAGTAAGTGTTTGCTATTCACTGGCTTTTCCCAAAGTAAGCTAGTGGCCAGTGAGTTGGGAGATAATCCTTCAGAGTAATGGACCATGTCCATTAGCCACAAATGTACCTTTCTTGAAGTAAATCTCATGCAGCATCCTTGAGTGCTGCTTGTTGGAATGGAGCCTTTAAACGCTGGGTCTTCAGTACTGATTGGGTTTCTTTCACAAGCAGAAATATCCTCCAGAGGTACTTAGAGCCTAAATGAGTTCTCCAATTGTACACTGAATAAAGTGTTCTCTTCCCTTTCAGCCTGACTGAGAGCTCTTCTGAAGGATAAGCCTTTAAGGGGAAGCAGTGGAGTCGGGGGAAGCATGGGGAGCATATCTTCATGGGGGGGGGGGTGAATGTGAATTCTTAAAGCACAACCTAATCCAAGGCCATCTTGGGTCTGAGTAAATCGCAACTCATTTCACCACATGCATTTTACAGTCTTGATTCTCTTTTTGCAGCTACCTAGATCAGCCATGCCAAGAAACAATCAACAGGATTAAACTTTACAGCGAGTCTCTGGCTAGATATGGTAAAAGCCCATATCTTTATCCCCTCTATGGCCTTGGAGAGCTGCCCCAGGGATTTGCAAGGTGAGGACTGGGTTGTGGTGGTGTGAATAACTTGTCTCAAATGCGTCAAGTGTATTTGAGGATTCTGTTAGAATCTAATGCACAGACTCTGCTGAGAACCTTTTAACTATTAAACAGCATTTTCTTTAGCTTCCCTCTTGTCTCTAGGTAAATCCCACTGTGTGGGATGGGCAGCATCAGCCAGGAGC